GACAAGCCCATCCACGTCACCTTCACAATTATCATCCCCGTCCTGAACCCCCTGATCTACACGCTGAGGAACCAGGAGATGAAGTCAGCCATGCGGAGACTGAAGAAAAGGTGTAGGCTTTCTCTAGGCAAGTAGCCTCACCTATGGATTATAGGTTAGATGAATGTACACAACTAAATTGTTTACCTAGAACGTTGGTTGTGGAGTGTTGGGACTCAGCCATGCAGGGAAAATTAACTACAGCAGGACTGCAAAGATGGAAAGGGTTACTGCCATGCAGTGCTGGTTTTTGTTAAAGAACATTTTCAGCAAGCTAAGCAGAACAGATACCACACTACAGCGCCACTGAGAGCAAACAGGAAACAAATCTTAAACAAGAACAAAGTTTCAGTGTGTCCAGGCAATGGGCAAAGGGTGTGCTGTGCTGTACAGACATGTGGTAGGCATCAGGAACATCTCTGCCAAAACAGCAGGACTGCAGGAGGTCAGGCCCAGTTCGTCCAGAGTAGTCCTGTGACCCTTGAGCACCTACTGCACATAGCACAGCTGGGACACATTCTCTACCTCTTCTGCTCTCTCCGTACTTGGGGCACCTTTTTGAAACCAGCTCACCATGTGGCATATGTAAAGAGCTGTTGCTTTGATGGATGTCTTGCTGTCTTTCTCTCCTTGTGATGGTTACAATCGAGTGTGACTGGAGACCTGCGCTCCCTGACTTTGTGCAGCTTCACTGCATAACCGCAGAAATGACAGGAAGCTGGAGCTCTATCCTGCTATTCATGAACCCCCAGGCACAAGCCAGCTTGACCAGCTTAGAAGTGCGAGAGCTCTATCCCACCCAATAAATACTTGTCATTCCCTTGTGTGCCTTTTTGTCATTTCCTTAACTGTGGGGTTTTATTATATCTCATAAATACGTCACAATACTGAATCTAATTCTCCTCTATGTTCTCAGTGTCTAGGATAGCACCAACATTATAAGAGACAATAAGTAAATGTTAGTTATATCCACCTTTTTTGTTTAGTTTTGTCAGAGATGGGTGTTTCAATGCCATTCAAATATTGCAGGTGCATGAAATCAGCAGAGTAACCCAATATAGTCCAGTAGTTCATAATAGTAGTGGGTTATCCACATGACTGGAAATGTCAGAAGTTGTTGACTTGAGCCTTTTATAGCTCAGCATATAAATATGGCTTACTTTTTATACCTCGTGGTTATACTTTTCTGCTGGATGGTTAAGACCAAGATAAAGCAATACCTATATAACAAGAAATTTATGGGACATAGGAGAAACTGTACTGTAACAACATGTAACTCAGTTTTGTTTCAAATTTTCTAATCAAGAAGATTATGGAGCCACAGAGAAATGTGTTTGATGATCTAAAGTGAGCCTGGGGAGAGTCACATGGAGAGAAAAAATATTTTCTCGAGCTTTCACAGAGAGCAAATTGGTCAAGCAATGGCCGTGACTCATCCACATGTCAGACACTGACAAAAGGATGTACAAAAGGCGGTACAGGGCTAGAGGATAAATCCTGAGAGTACTTGGCTGACCTTATCAGATACAAAAGTTACATTTCTGGGTATATAGGTCTTGCTGTATCTTGGTCTAAACCATCCAGCAGAAAAGTATAAAAACGAGGTATATAAAGCAAATCCCTATTAATATGATGAGCTGTAAAAGGCTCAAGTCAATAACTTCTGAGGATAACCCACTAATATTATAGACTGCTAGACAGTGTTAGATTGTTTAGTTGAATTCAAACTCCTATAGTATTTAG